CCAGTACATTGTGTACAAAAAGTACAGACCAGTTCATTGTGTACAAAAAGTACAGACCAGTAAATTGTGTACAGAGAGTACAGGTATTAGATGGTTTACAGAGAGTAGAGGTGTATTAAATGCCCTACTCCGTAAGGGTTTCTCAAACCCGTATCTATCCAGGTATAACTCGATTTCACTTTATTGTCAGTGTCAAAACCGGACACAATCATGTGAACTATCAATGCCAAACCAATGGGCAAGATCCCGTTAGCTATCAATGTCTACACGGACACAAGCTCGTAAACTATCAATGCCAAACCAATGGGCATGATCCCGTTAGCTATCAATTTCAGAACCGGACACAATCTTGTGAACTATCAATGCCAAACCAATGGGCACAATCCCGTCAGCTATCAATTTCAGAACCGGACACAATCTTGTAACTCTCAATGTCAAACCAATGGGCATAATCCCGTTAGCTATCAATACGGACACAAGCTCGTAAACTAGCAATGCCAAACCAATGGGCATAATCCCGTTTGCTATCAATGTCAATACGGACACAAGCTTGTGAACTATCAATGCCAAACCAATGGGCATAATCCCGTTAGCTATCAATGTCTACACCGACACAATCTTGTGAACTATCAATGCCAAACAAATGGGCATAATCCCGTTTGCTATCAATGTCAATACGGACACAAGCTTGTGAACTATCAATGCCAAACCAATGGGCATAATCCCGTTAGATATCAATGTCTACACCGACACAATCTTGTGAACTATCAATGCCAAACCAATGGGCATAATCCCGTTAGCTATCAATGTCCACACCGACACAAGCTCGTAAACTGCACAATGCCAAACCAATCGGCACGATATCAACTCGTTCGTTCAAACAAGGATCAATTACTCTATCAAAATTAATCAAAGCGGAGTCTATACCAACTGAGTATATTTTAGATTCTAGGACTACAGTGAAGGAGTACATAATGGAGTTCAGAAGAGAAGTACAGAAGGGAGTATAGGAGTACAGTCAAGATTAAACTAGATCTATGATTAGTATTGATAAATGAGTTGACTATGTAGTTAAAGATAATGATATTCAAGAATTAGTCTTCTCCTGTCTATACTACAGCTTAATCAGGCCAAACATAGCATACCAGATCCCGTGCTCTCCATTTATCAGTTTAAGGACTAGAACCTCCCCCTCTCCCCCCCTCCCCCTCCCCTCCAGTCCAACCTTATTTCTCTCTCTACCTTCCCCAATCTATCTCCTTCAATCAAAATGACTTAGATTCTATTTTTTTTTAACCAAAGATTTAAACTTTGTTTATTTTTCTCCATTTTTTGTGATCTTTCTTTCAATTTCTTGTGTTATAGAAATTTAGTCAAAAAGGAACAAAAAGAGTTTTATTATGAAGAATTGGTGAGAGAAGGAAAATAGAAAATGGGTGTTAGAGGGGTCGATCGAATCGAAACCAATAGGGTTACCCTTAAATATGAAAATCGAAACTAATAGGGTTACACCGAAATATTTAATTCGAAACCAATAGGGTTACACCGAAATATTTAAATCGAAACCAATAGACTTTCAGCAATGTAGGTTTGTATCTATACCTAGACTATTAATCCTGAATGAAGTGATTACTCTAAAAATCTCATTATTTCACCATTATGCAGACTTGAACAATCTATCTTTAAGATGGATAATACTGATAAATACAACTAAACAATATTTTCTTCGTAATGTTCAACCCTAAAAAGGAAGAAACATCACTAAAATTGATTGGAAATGCAAACGAAGCAGGTTTGAAACATGAAGATTAAGCGGCAGAAATGTTTTTTGGAGCTGCTGATTTATCAGCGCTTGTAGTAAGTAACAATAATCAGATTTGCTTCAGCTTAAAATCACCTTGAAAGAAAAATTATGTAATGGTACGATACTGTGGCATTATTGGGTTAGCGTTGAAGTCAGTCTCTAATTTCCGTATTTAAGTATTTAAGAGAAACCAACTAAACATGGAATTACATCCAGGGCTAATGAATCTTTACAAATATCCAAATTTGTTAGTTTTTAGAACTCTTAGCATATTTAACTAGCTTATAAAGCTATCATACTATTTTCTGTAGTAATTACGTACTTGTAAGTCTATTTTTTCGTCCTTTGCTGTTATTCATGCATCGAGATCTATTTTCTGTATTTTCCGTCGTTTAATTCGTTTCAACAGACCTGGTACTCTTTCTTGTTCTTCATTCTTCTGTCTTTCTTTTTCTTCTTCAATTGTGTCTTTCTTGTTCTTTGTTCTTCTATTTTTTCTTCTCCTTATATCTTTCTTGTTGTTCGTTCTTCTATCTTTCTTTTTATTTATTAACTTCTATCTTTTTTGTTCTTCTTCACATCTTAGTTTTTCTAGTTCTTTCTCCTTTATCTTTCTTGTTCTTTGTCCTTCGATCTTTCTTGTTCTTCGTATTTTTATCTTTCTAGTTCTTTGTTCTTCTATCTTTCTTGTTTTTTTGCTCTTTTATTTTCTTGCTCTTTGTCTATCTATCTTTCTTTTCTTTGTCCCTCGTTCTTAGTTTTTTTTGTACTTCGCTTTTCAAACTTTTCATATTCTTCATTCTTTCTTTTTTCTTTCTTTCTTGTTTTTCGTTTTTGAGTAAATTTAGCAAAAGAGATATGTATCTTGAAAGCGTTTTTAACTCTTATCTTTTACAAACAATGTTGACACCCCACCATTTTTGGCTTGCTATAAACTAATATATTGTGCGTGGATATATTGTGTAGGATATGTGTTGTGTGTACTGGCCCCGCCTACCCTAGTAGCCCCGCCCCTCCTGGGTCTAGGTAGTTAAGTTGATCAGGTGGCAGGTTGCAATGAATATCCCGGCAAGGGGTCTGAATCTAATAAACCTAATGGATCTAATCTTATTCTTCCATCTTCCTCCGCATTGAATATTAAGTCGAGGAATTCAATAACTTTGTTTTTATACGGATACGCGTACATTGGACACTATTGGGCGTGAAAGGGTTCTATAGACTCTATGTTTGCATGGTGGTTAGGTGGATTGCAATCATGCTCAATAAATATTCTTGAATTCTTTGGGGCGAACCTTTTGTATTTTAAACCTCTGATTCTAGCGCTTCTTGTCGGTTCAACCTCAGACGACGCGTTGAAGAGATTCCTTATTTTACGATTTAAAGTTTCCCTAGCTCCATCATTAGAAATGTATCATTCACAGCGGTTCCCTTTAAACCTATAACAGAGTATCAATACAGAAGACAGCATCGTTTTTTCTAACATAAAAGTGTTAAAATCTGACAATTTCCCTCATCGTCTCTGTTGCATAAATTCGCAATTCACTTGATTAGAGAAACCATGATGAAAAATGAACAATTTGTAGCTATAAACATATTTCTTATTCATCGTTTATCAGAGAAAAGTTTAAAGGGTACTGGTGAGAATATGATATGCCACTCTGAAAATAACGTCGACCAATTCCTTTAATAAGTGTAACCCCCCTCCCTCGCCACCCCCATCAACTTAAAAGATTACTTTGATTAACGTACTAGCCATAATTTTGTGATATATACAGGGTGAGTCAAAGCAAAGTTTGATTAACGGCGCCTGGTGCAAAATTGTACCATTTTTTGTGCAACTCTCCTACATGGTGTTTTTCAATATTTTTAATTTTTTCATTCTTTTGCTACTTCAATGGCCCACAAAAAAATCCGCGAACCTTTTTTTATTTAAAAATCAAAAGTTTAGAAAAGAAAAAATGTGTATATATATTATTTCTATCAAATTCAAAAATTTTATAAATTTTGAATCACAGAAAATTTTTAAGAAAAAGTTCTTTTAATTCTCTAGTTCCTTTCTCCTTAGTATATTCTAAAGTTATCATTATATGGTGCTCTGTTGAAACCTGAAGAGCCAATGAAAAACAATTTTTAACTGAAAATTAGACCAGAACTGATAATTGCGAATTCTCTCATTAAAATATTGCAAATGTTCTGTGATTCAATCTTTATAAAATTTTAAGTTTTGATATAAATAACATATATACATATTTTTCCTTTTCTTAACTTTTGATTTTGAGAGAAAAAAATATCATATAATTGAATTTCAAACCGAATCATACTTATAAAAAATTGTCTTGTTTGTCATATTCTTGATGTGTTTACTTCTTTGAGTACTTGAATAAAAAATAAGGAGGACGCACATGCTTAGAGTAAATTTTGGAGAGGACGCACATGCTTAGAGTAAATTTTGGAGAGGACGCACATGCTTAGAGTAAATTTAGGAGAGGACGCACATGCTGGAGAGGACGCACATGCTTAGAGTAAATTTTGGACTGGACGCACATGTTTAGAGTAAATTTAGGAGTGGACGCACATGCTTAGAGTAAATTGAATATTATTAATCAAATTCGTCATTTCTTTCTCATATTTCTACACAAGGGAGTTGTTTTTACTTCTATTAAAATATGTGCAGGTGTACAGAATTTGTTAAGTTTTTTTTCTTACTTTTATGCTTCCCTGCATTAAAAAACAGGATTTCTATTTACCATACCATATTAGTTTTGGCCTTCTGCCTTCAATACTGTCTTATAATGCATTTAAGGCAGAAGACCAAATCTAAAATTTAGATTGTCAGATTTAAAGAGTTTTGGGTCGTCTTTCAGTCTCATTCTTTGTGGGTAACCCTGTAAATTTTGAAAATTTGTAAGCTGATCACCCTGTATATACAGCTTATGTGTTCTCATTAAGTATTTGTATAAAAAGCTAATGTGTTTAATACCAAACCATTGGCCAAAGGGTTTAAGAGTGGTGAACCTTTTTTTACTCCCTCTTATCTTTTAAGTCTGTAGAAAAAGTGGTTTGGCGCCGTTTTACGAGTCTCAGGGCGGACGTTCAGGTCTCCTAGATAAGGACAATAGCTATTGGCACTTAGGAACTCATACCATCACAGATTCTCTACATTCATTGGTTCTTGGCCGGTTATATTGTTATAGTATTATACTTAAATAGTTTATTTTCATTTTTTACAATTAGACACCATTAAATTTTAAAGCAAAGACAAGCAAGGACGGGATATCATTCTAGGATTTGGTTTCAGATTCTTGAAGAGCTTTCATTCGCAAGGAAGCGATGGAATCAATTCTCCGTTCGCGCTCCGTTGGCGGAGATTGTGAGGCGGAGGAGAGAGAGGAGGGGGAGAGGAGAGAAGAGGAGGAGGGAGGAGGAGGAGGAGAAGGATTGAAGAGAGATGATACAGAGAACGGATGAGAAGGAGGAAGCGAGGACGTTGCTAGAGTGCTGAGAAGGGATGAGGACGAATGCGTGGTAGACGGAAGAGAACCCAAGAGAAAAGAATAGTCCGGTATATCCAGCCTAGGACGAACTGCTGATAGTCCTGCTAGAAGCTGTTGAAAGGACGGTTGGAACATAGGATGAAGAAACTGAGGACGGTGAAGAGAGGACATGTGGGACAGGCCGGGAGGAAGAAAGGACGGAATACTATTGAGCAATGATTTCGAACTTGATGTCAACCCTGGACCAGGACTCGAACTTGGTAGAACGGAGGAGAGGGGATGTTCGAAGCTTCGACGCGGGAGAAGGGACGCGTACGGATTTGACATCGAAGACGGTAAACTGGACCCTAGTCCCATGGACTGAGGGTAGGGGGAGTAGGGTAGTCCGTTGGGTCCAACCTTCTCCTGTTTTCTCCATTTAGCTCTCCGGTTCTGAAACCAAACCTAGAATACGGATTCAATCAGAACTCAAGATTAGATTACTAAAAGATGACTCAGCAGGTGAGTGTAGAAAAACATAATAATAAACTTGGTATAATAGCGACACAAAATAATATTTAACGCGTAATAAACGAATAAGAATTCAGAGAAATTAATAAATTGAAAAAATAAACTTTTTCCTACCTGTATCCTGGCTTCAGTAAGTCCTATTTTCATGGCTAATTCTTCCCTAGAAAAAATAATAATATTATTTTTAAGAATCGTGAAAGTTAAATATTATATCTAATGGAATGTGTGGGTAAGTGATTACATTGTATAACATGAATCCAACAATAAAGTCTCATTAAAACAACATTTATTTGTTAATATTTGAAGACACTATATCTAATTATTAAAGAACTGTTAAATAATATCAGCTTGATCCCCTTGACAGTCCCGTCATCTTCACAAACAACCTCTTCCTATGGTTGACTATTAATCAGGAATTTAAGAAAGGTTGTGAATTTAGAATTTTGTCACGTTCCTTTATTTAATGGAGAAAAGTTGTATAAACCTATTCGTCGTTTAGTACATTACTTAGCTAGGCTAACAACAAAATAGTCGAATCGAAACCAATAGGGTTACCCTTAAATATGAAAATCGAAACTAATAGGGTTACACCGAAATATTTAATTCGAAACCAATAGGGTTACACCAAAATATTTAAATCGAAACCAATAGGGTTACACCGAAATATTTAAATCGAAACCAATAGACTTTCAGCAATGTATTGAAATGAAAACTAATATGACTTCACCAAAATATTCGAATCAAATCCAATAGGCTTACATCGAAATATTTGAATCGAACCCAAAAAAATTTACAGAAATATATATAGAAGCGCGGATACTTGGTAACTGATAATTTGGTAACTAACATTTTGGTAACTAAGAATTTGATAACTAATAATTTGGTAACCTCACAATTTGGTAACTAACAGTGAGGTAACTAAAAATTTGGTAACTTGACAATTTGGTAACTAATAATTTGGTAGCTAACAATTTTGTAACTAACAATTTGGTAATCTCACAATTTGGTAACTAACAATATGGTAACTTGACAATTTGGTAACCTCACAATTTGGTAACCTCACAATTTGGTCACCTCACAATTTGGTAACCTCGCAATTTGGTTAGGTTAGGTTAGGACGATTTCTGGGCCGAGCGCTGCGGCTAAGACAGAATAGGGGGCCGAGCGTTGCGGCCTTTTTTATCAAACTAATAAATAATATGTGGGGTTAGGTTAGGTTAAGACAATTTCTGTGCCGAGCGTTGCAGTTAGTTCGAAATTCATATATCTGAATATTAGAAAAATTGAAACCGGTATATTCGAATATGGTTAAAAAGAACTATTTTAATTGAAAGGTGAAAGAATTACAACTGAATTAAATCTAAAAAAAGTTCATTAATCGTCCAGCGGACGAATGTTTACCTGGTAAAAACGTCTGGGTAATGTGTCCGAGAGAATGCTTTCTCTAGTTCGTCCAGCTGTAGGGAGGTGAAGGTCGTCCTGTATCGTCGCTGCTTTCGTCTTTGTAAACTGTATTCCATATCAGGACTCTAAAATTCAGTTAAAATTATAATTACACTTTTTAAAGAAACTTTTTTTTTCGTCCTTACCTCGTCCCCGTCCTTACCTCGTCCCCGTCCTTACCTCGTCCCCGTCCTTACCTCGTCCCCGTCCTTACCTCGTCCCCGTCCTTACCTCGTCCCCGTCCTTCTCCTCCTTGATGTCGTCCACTAGATCAACATTGATCTCCTCGTCCATCTCGTCTCGTCCTTCCAATTCTCGTCTTTCGAGCTCCCTTCTNCGTCCTTACCTCTTCCCCGTCCTTACCTCGTCCCCGTCCTTACCTCGTCCCCGTCCTTACCTCGTCCCCGTCCATCTCCTCCTTGATGTCGTCCACTAGATCAACATTGATCTCCTCGTCCATCTCGTCTCGTCCTTCCAATTCTCGTCTTTCGAGCTCCCTTCTTTCTAGTTCTCGTCCAATCGTCATTCTGCGCCGATCTGAGTCTAGAAATAATAAAGTTTATTTGATATTTTAAACAAGATTTAATAAAGATTAAAATTCACCAGGTTTTTTTAATTCTTTTTCAAAAACTAAAAAATGTGGTTTTTAAATATTTAACAAGTAGAATCTAGTGGACTAGTGGATTTAAGACGAATACTAAGCGCAAAGTTGTACTAGAAGTCCTGTATTGTGAATGTAAGTATCTGCAGTGGGTCAGGTTTTTACTTTTTTGCGGATTTTCTCAAAGAAGAATTGATGAAAACCTTATCTCTGGTTGGAAAGCTACTCGGAGAGAAGAGAAACCGAACCCTAGCAGTGTTTAAAAGAACCCTGATTTATTGCCTTATCAATCCTTAAAGCCGATGTAAAGCTACTATCTAGAGGGATAGGGTCGATTATTCAGCAAAAGATTAAAAGTATCAGAAAGGGAACCGAAAAAGTAAATGAATGAAAATCAATAAAATAACGAAAAAAAAAATTTTAAAACTTATCATTGATCTGACAAAAACGAACATTAAAAACGAGAAATAATTAAGATTGAAATTATTCTGCCTCTGCAATAATCAAAAAAGAATATAAAACCAAAGGAAAGAAAAAATGAAAATAAGAAGAAAAATGCAAGATAGAGGTAAGAAGAACATTTCAGAAAAAGAACACGAAAACAAAAGATTCGAAGAACAAGAACATACAAAATTAAAAAACAAGAACATAAAAAATAATAAAGAACAAAAACACGTAAAATAAGAAGAACCTTAAAACGAAAGATTATAAGAGTAGAAAACATAAGGTTAAAGATATTATGAACAAGAAAAAACTATTTATAGAACAAGAAACCGAGAATAAAGGAAGAACAAGATTAGTAGAACAAGAAACCGAGAATAAAGAAGAACATGATTAGTAGAACAAGAAACCGAGAATAAAGAAGAACAAGATTAGTAGAACAATAAGCCGAGAATAAAGAAGAACAAGATTAGTAGAACAATAAACTGAGAATAAAGAAGAACAAGAACACGAAATAAAAGAAGGACTAAAACACAACATACGAAGAATGAAAGCATAAAACATAAACATATAAAATAATGTAGGATAGGACAAAAACATTAAAAATAAGAATAACATGAAAACGAAAGATAACAAGAGTATAAACACAAGGGTTTAGAAGAACAAGAAAATTAAAGTAATAAAGAACAAGAAGACAAAAAAACGAGAGATAAATAAAAAATAGAATACAAAGAGCAAAAACATGAAAAACTTTAAGAACAAGATCACAAAAAATTGATAGATAGAAGAATACGGGTATAAGAAGAACAAGAACACGAATGATACCAATAACAAGACACGAAAGATAAGAAAATCAAGAGCAAAAGTACAAGAATAGGAACAAGAATTAGGTTAAAAACATGAACAAGGAAAATAACAAGAACAAGAGCTAGTTAATTACAATCATTTCTAAAAAGACTGTTAATAGTCTGAATATAAGAAAACTGATGAGTTCATTTTAAAAGTAATTATTTAAAGAATTTTCTTTATCAACTCAGCGCAAATTTCTAAAAAGACATGAATAGGAAAAGGTTCAAGTCACTTCTACTCCGTTCAAGTCATTTTGAGTCCAATTAATTAAGTTTTGATCCTAAATGAAGAGGTTTAAGACGAGCCGACATATTTATTCAAGTCATTCAAAACTGAGGGAAAAAGTCATGACTTGAAATACCGGGTCTTTGTTTAGCTGTAAGGGGGTGGAGGAGGGGGGAGAGGGGGGCTTCTTTATGAACCTCCGGGGGTCGGACAAAATTAGCGATTTAAGGTATTTTAATGTCTTAATTATACCTAGAAGAGAAGGAAGGGAGACAAAAGAAACAAAGGCAAAATATCCACCAAGAAATTGGCAAAAAAACTTCATTTTCTTAGTTTATCCATGCGGAAAGGGCCAGAAGGTTTTAATCACAGACTCAGACTCAATAAAATAAAATTCGAAGAAAGTGGGGGAGGGGGGGGGGAGTATAAAATATATTATAAAGATTATCTGATCTATATAATATTATTTATTAAAAATAATAATCCTATATATGTTGCATTATGTTTAAATAACAGGATAGATTGCTAGAACTGGCGAAATTGAAAGTATCAAAAATCAAATAAATTTTTCTTGCAAATTTTATTAAGTGCTTTAATTATAAAATGCATGAAAGGTGTGATATTGTTTATTAACAAAAGATCTAAACTTCAACTTATTTGACTGACCTACTTGCATCCAACAGCTGGTTTAGATTAGAAATAAAATCCTGTTTTCAAATCTTCTAATCTAATCAATACACAGGCCTCTATTCAACTGTTTGTCAAAAACTAAATGATTTTGTTAATTTTGATGAGCACTCTTAGATGTGATATACCCCGGGCCGGGTAGCCGGGGTGGATCCCCGACCCGTCACGGTTTCTCTCTTGCCGCCACAATTTCCTCTCTGGTTCAGCGGCGGTATAGATGGCGGGAGACGAGACTAACCGAGGGGATAATCCGCAACTAAGTTGAGTGGTGAGAGACGGACCGGTCCGACATATCTCCGACCAATTCGAAGCCGATATTAATTTGCCACGAAGTCCAAATTTAATCCTATCTGAATGGATGTTTCAATTAAGAAACTGGCATCTGAATAAAGGATTATTAATCCTCTAGAACTTAAACTGGAAGAAAGGGAGTAAGTGCATATAAAGAAAAAATACCTCCTTGAATTTAACTTTCTTAAATACTCTTTTAAAAAAGTTGTTTTCAAGAAGTGTGTAAATAAATCAATAATTTCGTAAATTTATTTCGAAAAATTTAATTATTGTTGAATAAAAATTGACTAGTTTGGCTGAATAATTTTATTTAAAATATTTTGCTGTTCAGTCACGAATTCTAATTTGTTTCAAGCTCAAACTGCTTGGTTGAATTTA